TTGCTGGGAAGTTGCTCGGGTGCTGGGAGCAGGCTTTTAAAGTGCCGTCCGAGCAGGACCGCCAAGCCGGGAAACGGGGCACCAAGGCAGGGCAAGGCTCCACCAGCAGCGGCCTAGCTTTAGGTGGCTCCAAGCAGCCCGCTCCAAGCAGCCCGCCAGCCGGGCGGAACCCTTCCCGCTCCTCGGCCGTAAGACGCTCCCACCTGCAAACTTTGCCTTTGCAAAGTTTAAGCCTGGAAGCCCCGGAAAAAAAAGGGGGATCGGCGGGGACTCACCTTCGGAGAGGTCGCACTCGAAGGTGATTTCGAACTCCCAGCCGAGGCCTTTGCAAAGTTCTTCTTTTCTTTCCTACCCCGAGAGCGCTCCGCACTGTTTTGCAGCTATGGGGGCCACGCGGCACAGGGCAATACCAGCGAATTTTTTTCAGGGGCGGGCCGGATTGGACAGACCAACGGGCCGGATGTGGCCCGCAGGCCGTAGTTTGCCCACCCCTGGACTATGAGCTGTGGTGGCGCAATGGTTAGAGTGCAGTACTGCAGGCTACTTCTGCTGACTGCTGGCTGGCTGCAATTTGGCAGTTCGAATCTCACCAGGGTCAAGGTTGACTCAGTCTTCCATCCTTCCAAGGTGGGTAAAAGGAGGACCCAGATTGTTGGGAGCTGACTGTATAAACCACTTAGCACTGAGAAGTGGTATTGTATTTATTTATTTGCTTGTTTGTTTGTTTGTTTATTTATTTATTTAGGAAATCCTTGAAAATGTTGTTGTACAAGTGTGAAAGACCAGATACAGCAATTAACATGCCATATACAACTTTGTAAAACATTGTAAAAATTCCTAACTTACTGTTCAATGTAGAGGAATTTTAAAACATTTATCTTATTTGCTTTATATATTTTTAAACTACAGTTTAAAAAACCGTTTTCACGAAGCCATTCAACTCTTCTTTTTTAAGGGTACAGTTTATTTGAGAGAAATTTAAGGCTGATAAACATTCACTCGTAGAATTTAGGATACAAGCTAAAGTTCACATTTTCTTACTATTTATATATGTAGTTCAAATTTTCTATAATGCGTTGATGACAGGTGTTGGGTACTTTTATGTTAAAACATTTTTGTGGTTTGAATGTCAGATTAAATTGCAGACAGGAACCAAAAAACACTGCCTAAAATATGTATATGTAGTTTCTATTTGAACTGTAGAATTGAATCAGCATTTATGCAGTTGAAACAGTTTAGGGTAGGAATAGTTAGTCTGGTGCTCTTCTGATGTTTTGGACTAATTTCCTTCAGATTATATACAGAATTAATAATGACAAGTCATTATAGAAGTTTCTAACCTATCTGAAGGAAAACACTTTGCTTACCATTGAGTTAGAGGTATGGTGCTTATCAAAGGTCTGTTCACTGAATATGTTTTTATCTAAACATTCAGCATGGAATCGGCATTAAGAAGCTTGTGAGTAGGATTGGCTAATAATAATTCACTTATTTACTTATTTATTTGGCACATTATTCACCCAATTAATGATGAGCAATTGAATCTTGCTTGGAAAGCATTGTATTTGCGGTACTGCAAGCGTCTGCCTGTTGTGTTGGATTACTAACAGACTTGAGCATGAAATAATAAACGAATATTTTGGTTTAGGAATACCACAGACTAATACTGAATTTTCTGCTTATTTATTTCTATACCTTCATTGCCCCTTCTTTGATTTAATCAGATTAAATCACTGTGACCTATGCAATTTTATCAAAATCAATACAATATCTGATGTGATTATCATGACAAGGGCAGCTGAAAAACATAGGTCACCGTAAGCTCTTGTACTAAATGATAGCATTGGCAAATGAATCCAAGGTCATGGGGGATAAAGGGAAAAAAACCTGGGAAATTGTGTTAGAATCTTGGGAAGCAAAAGGATATTAAACTGTATTGAAATGAATTCATGAAAATAAGAGGACTTTTAAACAATAGGATAAGATTAAAAGTAGGGAAGAAAACTGCTATACAGTCTGTAGCCTTGATTTGATATTCCACGCTATTGTTCAAAGCTACTGTGAGAGAGCAGAAATTGTTCTTGTGATTTTCATCATTGCATTGGGTTTTTTTCTTTGCTCCTTTCCTTCATAGTAAAGATTTGTAGGCAGTATGTTCACAGGTGTATTGTTAAATAAAAACTTATGTACAGTAGTATGTTTTCTGTTATTGGATTTCCAAAATCTGAACTAGATCTGAGCAAATCCCTCATGAATAGTGTTGAGAAATGTATTTGATAACTTCAAAAGGGTTACCTCAGCCAACAAGAAGCTGTGCGCATATCCTAATTACATGAATAATCTGATGCACTAAAAGCATTGTTTTATTTTGCAGAATCTTCCAATGCAACGTTATTGACCAACGCAGAAAAAATTGCTACAATTACAACTACACATACTCCTCAACAAATGCCACAGGAGAACAGGTTAGTTTAATGCTACCCTCCCTTAGAGTGGCTGGGTTGTAATCTCCATTCAGTATTTCCCACGTATCTTCACTCCCATAAATCTGATCTTATTTTTTACTCCTTCTTTCCATGATTAATTTGAACAGAAACAATGCAAAGACAAAACAGGAATCCCAGTTTGATTTCAAAGCACCAACAGCCTCCCAGGTAAGGCTATTTGCTGCCCACAGTTTTACCTTATTAGCTGCAGCTTGCACATTAACAATGTTCTTCCCCTCTCTGTATAAACTGTATTTATGTATGTATTTCCCACATAAAGTTCAATGTATCTGCATTGAGTGCTTTCTTAATTTGTCTCTGCATGTATGTACACATGTGCTACTGTGAGCCGCCCAAAATTGTGCTCTAAACTTAGTGACCTTGCAAATCTTTTAAATAAGCAATGAAACAAATACAGAGCAAATACGCTTTGCTGACAATGGTAGCAGTGGTGTAGTTTGTGTACATGCATACATGCCAATTACACTAACAGGATACCTCCCAAACAATTATACCAAAACTTCTGAAAGAAGCAGCTGTTTCAGCACTTCTAAGTGGTCTTAACTCAGATTTGAATGACTTAATTAACGAACTTTTGGAGAACACTAAGGTAAACTATACCACAAGATTTCTGTCTTTAAAAATGGGAGCTATCTTGTTTTTGATATAAGAATTGAATTTAATTTTTAAGGAATCGATTAAACATAGCGGTTTGAAAATAAGTCTAATTTAATACAGGGGCATTTTCCATATTTCGTATGTCCTGTGTTCATTTTAATGATATACCAATCAGCCTGATCATTTGAACCAATGCTCTTCTGCCTATAATTTAAATCTTTTTGATGGTTAAGGTTGCACATTGTATTTTATTACCTTTTTCCAGCCAGAACAAGATTTTTACACTGTGGAACTTGAAAGAGGAGCTAAAGGATTTGGCTTCAGTCTGCGAGGTGGCCGAGAATATAACATGGATCTCTATGTCTTGCGGTTAGCAGAAGATGGGCCTGCTGAGAGATGTGGAAAAATGAGGGTATGTTACAAGCTCACATGAGCTACCATTTCTCCTTTGCCTTATCTGCAGGCCAACCTTTCTACTCAGTTTCCTCCTTTTTTTCCTGTTTCGTTGCAGAATACAGATGACCTTATTCAAGCCATCAGACAAAAATCATCAGCAAATGATTTTTTTTTCTTTTGTTATGTCTAAAAGTGAAAAAGCCTTTTAGCCCATATAAATAAATATGTGCTTAGATTATTGATTTTCCTCTATTCAATGCAGATATCTCACTGCTTCAGATGCCATTCTCGAAATTGCTCTGCATTTGATGCCATTCTCAAAATTGCTCTGCATTTGAACTGTTTTATGTGACGGTGTTTTGTTGGTTTGTTTTAGAATGGCTACATTTTTAAACAAGGCCTCATAATTCCATCTGTAGAATTTCACTTAAGAAGTCCTTAGGACTTACAAGCTTAAATGTGCAACATTTTCTGGACCAAAGATCACCGTGCTTAATCTTTGAGTGCCATGCCAAATATTGAATACCCTCAAATAATAGGCAGGGTCCCTACAAAAAAAATACTTATTTCATGTACACATACATTCAATTAAAATTATTCTCCAGTATAAAACTATTTAGAGATTTCCCCATCCCGTCACTACAAAAATACGTTTTCAAAATCTATAGAAACTAACCATATGTCTTTGCAGAAATAATTAAAATAGAATACTAGAGTTGGAAGGGACCTTGGAGGTCTTCTAGTCCCTATACCAGTGGGCCGCGAGAAAATGTTGGTGGGTTGCAGAGAAATTCCACCCCCAGAGCACCCCCCCAAAGCAATTAATCCAGGCTGCATAGAAACTCAAAGCTGTGCAGCCAACATGGCCCACGGGAACCCTCCCTGCCCACTCACTCCTTACCCGGCAAACTTGCCTGCTAAATTGCGATTTTTCCTTTTTACGACCATCAGTTTTTCTGCTCTGCCAGGGGATTTAGATTAGCTAGGAAGCAAGAAATGGTTGGATTTCTAGCTTTCTAGATAATCTTTAGACCTTCGGCTTTGCTTTTAAGCACAGCTGAACCTCCCTTAGGACTGAAGGTTCTATTATTCAGTGCAGACTCACGGCAAGCAAATTATATGTGACAGATTGAGCTAGCCGATGGCAGATAGATAGATCACTGAATGATTCTGTGAGCAACTCAATATGCCTGCCTGCTTTGTCTGATTTTGGGTAAAAGTTGCTCTTTTTTTATAAAATATTCAATATTTACATGCATGGTGTGTTGTGAGTTAATTTTGTGAGCTTGCTTGCCAGCAAATTTTATGAGTTTGCTTGGAAGCAAATTTTATGTGACAGACTGAGCTAGCCGATGGCAGATAGATAAATCTCTGAATGAATCTGTTATTCTGTGAACAACTCAATCTGTCTACCTGCTTTGCCTGATTTTGAGTAAAAATTGCTCTTTTTATATAAAAAATTCAATATTTATATAAATATTTATAATATTTACATACAAGCCATGCCGAGCCAGTCACATGACCATCAAGCCACACCCACAAATTAGGCCACACCCACAGAACCGGTTAGTGGTCCCTGGGATTTAACATTATAAGTTTTGTGGTCCCTGAGGTCCAAAAGATTGGCGACCCCTGCCCTATACCATTTGAAACAAATGGTTATCCAACATCTTTTTTAAAACTTCCAGTGTTGGAGCATTCACACCTTCTGGAGGCAAGTTGTCCCACTGATTAATTGTTCTAACTGTCAGGAA